TACAAGTTCGAGAGGCTCTTTTCCAACCTAAACCAAGCTACATTAAAGAGAACTTGGTGTTTCAATTTTTCTTCCATTTTTAGTTCATTATTCTCAAGCTCTGTTGAATATTATTCTCCTCTGCACTCTGTAGGAAGTTTATCCAGTGAGTTTGAGAAAACCCAGATCTGGGTTTTTCTCAAAAATGTGTGTTTTCTCCACTGCAAATACCAGCATCCTAGCATTTGCAGGAAGTTTATCCATTAGATTTCTCAAACCCGAATATGGATTTGATTTGGAAAGGAAGAAGAAGGAAGAAGAGCACCCCAATTCGTTTTCGATTTGTAGATTTAGTTCAGATCTAAGGTTTCTTCGAGGTTTTCTTTTTGTTTTTGGGTTGATTTGTTCATTTGGGGTGGGGTAGTCTGAAATTCTGTAAATCATGTCAATGACTTTAGTTTTTCTATGATCCTCATGCCTCGTGTTCGTATTATGCATCCTTTCTCGGTTGTGTTTCTATATTGGTTCTATATGTTTTCTCGTGAACTAATCCTCTAATTTCATCTCGATTTAATTTAACCCTCATTTTGCGACATCACTTGGGGCACTAGTGGCTCCATTGCCAACCTCACCCTTGATATTACTAACAAGATGCAGAACATCATCTGCATTGAGATCAAGATGCATCTGAGTGCAATGTTTGAGAAAAACCTAGATTTGGGTTTGAGAGAGGAAGAAGGGAGAAGAGAGAGAAAGAATACGAAGAAGAGAAGAAGAAGGATGAGTAGAGAAAGGAAAGAGCAATGTTGATAGAGAATGAGGAGGCAAACTATCGAAAGAGGAGGTAAAAGATGAAGCTTGAGAGAGAAAACCCATATCTGTATTTGCAAAGGAAAAGTAAAGGAAAGAGAAAGTGAAAGTGGAAGAACGGATCATTTTTTTTTTTTTTTTGATGTGGATGAAAAAAAAATATCATCATTTTTAAATAAAATAAATATGCCAACTCATAAAAAAAAAGTGGCCAACTATGTTTCCTTTTTTCCATGTCCTTAGTTAAGAAAAATAAAATTGATTTGCTGACAAGATAACATGCCACTTGTCTATTTAACTAACGAAAGAATCGTTTTGGTATAAAAAATGAAAGTTTAAGAATAATTTTGGTACTTTATAAAGTTAAAGGATAA